GATTTGAGTAATCCACAGATCAAGAATTCATCATTTTGTAGGGCTTCTTCCTAATGGGCGGCAATTATTTTTTACACTCTGAATCATGCATTATCATGAATATTTAGAGGCTTCAACCATCAAAAAGACCATCATCATAATAAAAAAAAACAGAAGGATAAGATTAAAGCGATATTGTATCTCCCCTACAAAGACAAATGCACCGCGAAGCCAATCAATAATGAGACACGGCTACTCGATGCCGACAAGAATGCATCACATAAGTTGGTGTTTTATCGAGCGCTGTCCCCTCAGCGCTGCTCGGTCACGTTCTGCTCGATTATCAATGGCTCAAATGATGAGCCGAGATTCCAGAGTCGAGAGAGAGGGATGCCACCCTTGCATGTGGTCGCCGGCCAGCCGAGTGCGGCTAATAGAAAGAGACCGCAGCTTCCAGCACCGCGGGCTAAATCCAGTGCAGTTGAGTGGTAAATCTAGTATCAAAACTACGTTGATACGCTCCATCTATGATTATTGAAAGTATTAGTATATGTTGGCAAAATTTGTTCCTTTAAGCAGATTTCATTGAAGACCAGAGAATTCGTTTTATTGAAATAAAACGAATTCTCTAGTCTTCAATGAAACCTGCTTAAAAGATAATTGAAAGGTAAACATCTTTTCTAAAACGATAGTAGATTTTGAAACATATTAATAACAACTTTTTCAAACGCTAACTGTGGCAATTTTTGACATTATTTAAAAAGAAAGGTTTAACCACGTTGATACTTTTCATCAGCTCGATAATAAAGAAAATTAAAACGCTTCTCTAGCACCATGGTGTGTTTAAATAAAAAACAATTATTATCTATTAGATTGTGCGATTAATACTAACCGAAACACTCAAGTGAAAGCTGTTCAAGTTATCCAAGAACAAGGGTTCAACCACGTTGATACTCGCCATATTTACGTTGGATAACATAGTGCGCCTTTTCTATAATTATGGTTCAATGTGAAGCACATGAATAAAATTAAGTAGTGATTAACGCTACTCGAAACACTCGTGTAAAAATGTTCTAAATTATTCAAAAACAGAGGTCAAATTGAAAATAATTTTTCAGTCCATATTATATACAATTTTGATTAAAAATTTATATTGAATGCAATACAGTTCGAAAAGCTCCGAACTGGATAACCCGAACATTTCGGGAATACGACAACTATTTTAGATATTATAAATCGTAAATTTGAATAATTTACTCATTAAATTAAACGAAAAATGTATCATATAATATAATAGCTTCTATATAGGCTCCGTTACAACCATGAACTGTACCTCCACTTGACTAATGCAATTATGCGTGATTGATTTGCAGGCTTCATTCAATGATGAACTGTCGTCTCGTAATAATTCTATATTTATCAAACATAAAAGTTACGTTAGCAAGCTGTAATGTTTAATGGCTAAATTATTGATCAGATAAAAATCTGACTACTCTAAATCCCATTGAAAAATAATAAAACGTTCCCTGTAACACACGATTTGCATTAATCAACGAGGAATGACGGGCAATAAATCGCTTCAACAGGTCACTATAAGATCTTATAATCAGTTAGCTTATGATGAACAAAGAATCGCCCTACGTCATTCTGAAAGGCAATTCAGTTGAAGTATTTGCCAACAGTTCATACTTGTGTACTCAGGTCTTGGCGCTTGAAATAGTAATGCTGGTATGGCTTACACTTAATGGTAATAAGGTGCGGTGTATGATGAATGCGTATCACCTGAATACACGAATATTACTTCAACTGGAGATATATTTCATCAGTTGTTCATACAAACAACCCGCTTAAGAGAAGCCAACAGCTCTCTTATCTGCTGGTCTGTTTATATATTGTAATTTGTACGTCAGCATTCATGAATAATTTCCTCCTCTAATATATTAAACTTTACATGCCAACCACGCAATTATTTTGCTAACGAATTAAAATACCGATGTTTCATCTTGAAATCAGAGGTCAGTACAATATCAAAATTGTCAAACTTAAACGCGATTCTTATTCTCATTTAAATACTTTCTTTCTAATATAAGCGTGTTCTGATTCTGAAACGCGATTCTTACTTTAATTTAAATATTTTCTTACTAATATAAGTGTGCTGTGATTCTTATAGGCATTTCTTACTTTAATTTAAACATTTTGTTACTAATATAAGCGTATTGTTATTCTTGTACGCGATTCCTACTTTAATTTAAACATTTTGTTACTAGTATAAGCGTGTTGTTATTCTTGTACGCGATTCCTACTTTAATTTAAACATTTTGTTACTAATATAAGCATGTCTAAATAGGTTTACGGTTACCAGGGCCACAGCAACGCATGCACGATCCCAGTAACCTGGTTAGTTGAGCGTGTCACTGTGGCATCTATTGTCTCAGGCGCACGTATGGTCGCTCCTATAATGAACTTCCTACACTAAGCAATTTATGCTCACCGGCCAATTAAGCATGGGAGTCTTGGTCTCTAGGTCACGCTAAACATAAGCACGTATGACAGATTTCCGCTACTTATCATTTGAATTTTTTCTAAGTTTTTCATTTATGATTTATTATTAATTCACATTTCATAATTCTCCCTAAATACATGCGTCGCTTCTCTACTGATGTGAGTACAGCTGTACGGTGTTATTATTACAGATTTGCAAGTTGTTTTCAAATGTATCATAAAATGTATTAAAAAGATTACATTTTCACGGGGTAGTCGAGCAGTTTGCTCTCGTCACCAATAAATATCATATTCGGGTGGTCTTATTTTCAAAAATACAAATAAACTTTCATTTCGATTTGTGCTACAAATGAAAAATAGTTCTTGATGAGTGATAAATACAAATAAAAAATATATATTTCTTCTCAAAGTTTGTAATTCTTGATAAAATAGTGATTGTCTCTTGATAATGCGTTCACCGAAAATTGAAGCGAAATAAAATTCTCCTCGAAAACTGTTTAAGATGCAATTAGTTATCATGTACCGTTCAGGCTGTCAATGTCCAATTGACTAATATACAGTATGTAGTTCAACATAGTCTTCTTCAAGCTTCTTTTTAAATCAAGCATCGGACGTGAAGATAATTCTATTTAACTGAATATATCTCTTATTGAGAAGAGTAAAAAGTTAATGCTAAAGTGGCTTATTTTTTCATCATTATTATTAATTTTTCAATAATTCCTAACTCATTTTTTTGCCCGGTGTCAACACCAGCGGGCAATGGAATTTTTCAGCACATGATTTTGAGGGCGACACTCACGCACCAGCAGCGTCTCACTTGATTGCATGCCGTTTACCCAAATGTGTGGTGCATTAAAATTAGCCTGAACCACGTTTTAACATCTCTTACAGCTGTGGTTAAATCTTCCGAATCTTTCAGTGAAAAATATTTCATATATTTTTAGCTCTAGTTGTGTGTCATCTCTGCCTTCAATACAATTTCGTGACATTTATGTCATCTAAACACTTAGAAATTTCGTATCAAAAGCACTAATAATCTGTCAGTGTGTACTTATTTATTCCAGATGGTATCGATTGCTGACCAGAGCCGTGTCGAAGCTACCACGTTTTCAATTCCAAGTCGACTATAATTTTCAGCAGAAAGGGAAGCAAAAGAATTCTCATCCATTTAGTGTTTTATTGTTTTAAAAACCAACGCAAAACACCGTTGGTTGATTTTTGTGTCGTATAACAAGACAATCATTAGTGCAGTTATATTTACATAAGATGTACGTACCATTGATGAAATGCAGCAGTCAGGATATTCATATATAACTGCAGAATAATCAACGACAACGCCTGACTGGGGGCATCGAAAATCAGTTGATACATCAGCACAGTTCCTATCTCCGAATTATTTTGATATTGATACTTTGATGTTTGTGCAAGGGTATGACTCGAACGAAAATCCACTGAGCGGTCGGAAAATAATGGGAGAGGTTGACTATTCGGCACGCAGTATAACTCAAGGAAAAAGCCTGGAGCTCAATTTAATAACAAAGTATTTGATAATAACATTTACTTGATAATGATGACAATTCAGGAGATAAATAAGGCTGAAAGTGTAACAATGACATAAATAAAGCAATTAAGGGGTTATAATGCTATTGTGAACAATTAATTTCAGCGACAACATGAAGTGGTCGTATGGTTAGGTTCCAAACTGTAGGCATGCCATATTAAATAGAAACAATTGGCAATAATAATCCTCTTCAAATTTGGTGCTCAATACGTTTGTTGTAGTTATTAGCTAAAGCAACTTTTATACAATGACAATAAAATAACTAAAGAAATACGTTTTCGACCAATAAAACACAATACGTTTCACTTATCACGTTTCTCACATTATCACATTCCTCGTCCAATTGTGATGAAATCGTGAGCGCGGCCGCCGATATCAGTAAAACAATTCTAGTTACTTTGAAAAATCAACAAAAGTTGCTAATGTCAAGAAATGCGAACTTCTAAACATAACAACAGTTTTTTATAGCAGCTTCATTTGCTTTAACATCGGGCCAGAGGGTATGATACTGGCGTTAATATCTAATTTTAACATGAAAGAAATCCAACAAAACAACGAACTGCCACACGATTATTTATTTCGGTAACGAATGCCAACATCGAGTCAAGAGTTAGAGAGAAATAGCGCTGGGATTGGCCCTTTTCCACGATACCAAATTCTTCGCATAAAATGACAGAATTGAGCTATCAATGAAGATCAGTCAGTGATCCACGACCATAGAAACACTGGAAACAGGACAAATTCTTTAAAAATGAAATAAAATCATGCAAAGATTTATACTTGGTATTTGTGAACCATTGATATATATGCTTGAATATTGTCTCAAAAATAGCAGAATAGATCCTAAAGGAGCCTGAAGTAGAGCGTTCAAACTATGAGCAAATCATGAAAAAATTGAAGACTTTTTACAACCAAGTGGGATATTTTTTTAATTACTCAAAATGAGACTAAAACAATCTAATTAGAAATTAGTATACGCGTCTATCAAAATCAAATCAACTCAGAGCATGTCGGCAGATATAATAGTTTTTCTTCGTTACACAATAGGAATATTAGAGGGCTGAAAATCGTACAAAAATCGTCCGTAAAAGGCTATGTTAGGCCGGGGGTTGGCTTGGATTCAAAATCCTAACAACAACTTTGATCATTTTTGATGCTGTGTGTAGGGACGGATGACATGGAAACTCAATCAAGATAGTCAGGCTTGACATCACGCAACTCGACAGTCGGAAATGATAGGTAAAAATAGGTATTTCATTCAAAATTACAAGACAACAAATCTAACTGATTTTAATCATATAATTACACAGGGTATTAAAGGATAGATGGCGCCTATGTCGGAGCCGAGTGGTCTATATTTACAAACATTATCTGTACATGGGAGACCGCATCCTCTCAAAACACTGAACATAGCAAGAATTTACACACACTCTCACCAAGGTCTCCACTCTACATTTAGAGTGTTATTCACACAATATTAAAGCATAAATAACTCATCCCTTGCATTCCACGGTCTCAGCACAATATATTCAGGCATATAGGAAATCACAGACACATTCACCCCCACACAATCATCCGCACGCAGTCCTAAATTTTCAGCCACGATCGGAGTTTTTCCAATGTGAAAAATATGATCGTAGCAGACAAGAAACAAATGGTAAATATAGCTAATCCAGGTATCACATGTGGGATAATGTTTTCTTCAAATTATCCCATGCCTTATACCAACCAAACACTTACGTCCTTGGTAAATGAGCAATGTATTACAGATTTTGTTATCAACGGATAAAATCAACGAAATTTTTAATAATATTAGCAATAATTACCTCACTATTCAAATGGTACTTACATTCCGAAAAAAAGGCCTTACTCGTTGCAAAATGTTGCAATGAGAGGCGAAAGTTTACATTCGAAACAATGAATTACAATAAACCAATCATAAATTTTTACTTTTTCCTGGTGAATTTTCGCTGGTGTTAGAGCACCAATATAATAATCTAGAATAATTTTCAATTATTAGGCAAAGAGTTCTAGCTCTTCATATCGGAATCAATATAATAAGAAGCCCGTGAATATTGTTCACAACAACAAAAAAATCATCTGGTGTAGGGATAACAATCAACTAGCTCACACGGTAACATTGCAAACAAATTAAGAATTTTCCACCAAAAATACTTTCAGAACAAATGTGGCACCAAAGAAATAGAATGATTATTATTACCAGAGAAAAATGTGTGATTGTAGCGGTAGGAGTAGGAGAAGCTATTGTAGAGAAGTCCTAGTATCCTCCGTTACATGTGCGCTAAAGACATGGGCGCCGCCGCGCTCATAGGATCGTGGGAGGATGTGACCGCTGCAGCGTGCGCGTGATATTGAGCGTGACTCATGTAGGCTGCCGCTGCTGCTGCCTTTTGCTGTTGCTCCTGACGTTCTTGAGACCCTGGTAGATACATAGAGATCATCTGTGAGAGATCTTGATGTTGTGTTAATCCTCCTGTTCCGTCACTGCAGGAACTGTTGATTTCCCGCTTCACGACGGCAGCTGTGCGAGACAGCAGTATACTGTTACTCTTAACTGTCCCTCAGTGTATTCTTTTCTATAAAGTTTGCTTTAACCAGGCTAGTATTTATGAAGTGTAGCAGAATTTGTTTATAAAATATATATTACATAGTGGTTATATGAAGAACATATGAAGAACTTGAACCCCAAATTCAACAGTTCAGTTATAAATTGGTGAACAACACTTGCATAACAACTCGTTGAAAAAAACATATCCTTGCATTCGTGCCACAAATTATGCCCTCTTTGAACACAAAACCTTTAAGTTGTTTCATCCGAATAAACATTTAAAGATACTGTTTCAGAGTTCAACAATTGAAAAAAGACAAAATTCTAATGGCATTTCAAGTCATTATAATAAAATAGCTGTTCAATCAAATCCGATAGAAGTGAAAACATAGACATTCTAAAATTATTTACAAATGCACACTTGAATTTTGAATAGAAATTAAGATAGAGAATGTTCAATTAAGTAAGTAAAATAGCACAAGTTCGGACTGACACACTTATTAGTTTTCCTTACCAAAGAAATTTTTACGATTAAGCATCAAGGTAAATAATAATCATATCCTGGCAACAAAATTTCCAAGTTGAACTTAATTCGTTATCTTTTTCATCACTCATGAATAATGAATCTTGAATTTATAATCGACTTGGAAATCACTTAATTGCCACTCTTCGCAGTCTATATCGAAATTCGAAGCAGGAGAACGCTTACAAGAATTGCGCATTTACAGAAAATTTCAAATATGCAATTCTTCATCATAAAATCAATCTTGAACTTGATTAATCGAGATTATATTTTACTGGAAAATGATTCCAAATTTCCTAATTGTTATATTCTATCACAAAGATATTAACAGCTAATGAAATGATCCTAATATTTTCAGGGTTTTTGTGGAGAGTCAGATAAACTTTGATCTAGGAAGTATGTCTGATCAAGATATTGACACATAAATAAATTTTCATCATTTTACTCAAAATTTTTGTGCAAATACGAGAAAACTGCGTCCCAGGAAGTATATCTGATCAAGATATTGACAGATAAATAAATTTTCATCATTTTACTCAGGGTTTTTGTGCAAATTCTGAAAAATTTCGTTCCAGGAAGTTGCAGAGTTCCCACCGTGCCAAGCCTGCGGTATCATCACTGGAGACTCACACTGGTAGTCCGCTGCCGCGGCAGCAGCGGCAGCGGAGGAGTGGTGCACCGAAGTAGGGACGTTAGCAGGCATCGTGGCGCCCGGGGACGAGACGGGTAGAGTGGGAGTCTCAGACTTGATGGGAGTGGGCGAGTGGGAGGCTGAAGAGCCCAGCGAACCCACTGATGTCATCGATGCCATCTGAAAGAAACAGCAGCGTGTTGTTCAGACTCGGGAATATTGTCCATTTGATGTAATTATCTGATCTCATTTATTCAACGCAAATCCTCAGTGAGAATGTTTATGATTTGAAAGAGCAATGGATTTATGTTATGTAATTATGCAGAGATAGGACTATAGAGAAAATATTTATTTGCTTTTGAAATGACTATAGTGTCATAAAGAATATTGAGCAAGTAAACTAACATAAGACAAATGTAATGCCTAAACGATGTGATAAATCACTTCCTTTTATCCTAAGGTATATGAGATTAGAAAATTGGAAGTTCAACCCTGACGTAATACAGATAAGAAACTATTGTAATATTAAATGGACTCACCTGGGACATTGAATAAGGTGAAGGTGTTGATGCATACATGGAACTACTGTAGGTGCCGTTCATGTAGGATGGAGGGCTGGCTGCGGTTGGTGAGTAGCCTCGGGACATGTCATATCCTCCGTACACTTGACCGGTCATGTAGGGGTAGGTTTGGCTGCCGTATGCCGCTGCGCTGTCGTATCCGTAACCTGATGTCAAAGAGACGTCTCGTGTTATTGATAATTGGTTATAATTATACTGTGGCATAAAGTTTGTAATCATGTATTATTTACGGCGAAATATCCCTCTGCATTCTCTTATGTGTATTTGTTTCCCGATCTGTTGAAATAAAATGCCACAATCGGTATTTTTTCCATAAATGGCACTGTAATGTTTTTATGCTCATTAATTAAAGAATCACTAGCTGATAAATCATTACATATCGAGATTAGTCCATATTTGTTCATCCAACTTAAACTGAATTCAATAAATTTATTGGGAGATTTTTTTGGTGCGAATATCTTGCAGTAGATTGGAACGGTATCCCTTTTTAAGCATAACAAACATTAATTTTTTGCATCAGAAATGAAAATTATCCTTTTTATTTGGGTTTACGTTGAATGATAACTTTATAAGTTAGTTTAAATAGCCGCGCTTGATGCCTATTATAACTTCCAAAGTATTATTTAAGAATGAAATTTGATATTGTTAATTTAGTGAGCCTGCACACTAGAGTAGCGGTTGCTCAGGTATTTTTCACCCTCTAAATTGTAATAAATTTCTGATATATTCATTGCACTGTAAGTCGCTCAGTTCAGTAAAACTCACGTGCTTCGTTCAGTACTAAATTTGATTAGGTGATAAACTATACACGAATTATCAGGCAAAACAAATTTAGGAATTCAGGAGACATAAATAGATTGTACCAACTTAGGAACACAACACATATTCGTACACTTTTAGAGAAATAGTGAAAATGTAAGAAAAAATCCTCGTAATCATGCATAAAATTGGCTCGCATATTTGCACGCATACACAAAGTTATCACATTTATTGTTAGTGAAAAAGCAACTATATTTCGTAGTGCATCATCAGAGATGAACAAAATCGTGAAGAAAGAAGGAAACTTGATTTTTATTAGTTTCAGTTAGCCCATTTGTAGAAGTAGAAAATATAACGGTCAAATAATTCAATTAAACATAGTTAATAATTAATCAGATGTGTTACATAGTACCACGTTTTTATGCCCAAAAATAGGTACAACATTGACAGATGGGATCATTTTCAAGTAGAACGCAGGAGTAAATGTTAAAATGTTATTAGGAAATTACGTGGTTTATGGGGATAAGCCAACAACCTTTATATTTTAATGCTGTTGTTTGACATGCCCAAGAATATCCGATTTGTTATGAGCTCTGAATTTTAATATCAATATATGGATTTCATCAATTCCCCTTTGGTGGAATAACTAAGAACGATCTGATGATAACGGGGAAAAATGTAAGAAACCCGCGCAATGTTTTGGTCGAGGTATAGGACCGCGCGAAGCAGCGGCTGGATACCGAGCATGAGTAGGCAAATTTGGCCTGACATTCATTACTCAAAACATCGAAGGCTGCGGCGCCAGACTCCTGTGGAGCTACGACCATACACGACAGGCGGCACCTTTGGTGCTCTAATTCAGCCTACCGGGCGCTGAGCGCAACGCCTCCCTAAGATAGTGGGTGCTGAGCGCAACGCCTCCCTAAGATAGTGGGTGCTGAGCGCAACGCCTCCCTAAGATAGCGGGTGCTGAGCGCAACGCCTCCCTATAAGATAGCGGGTGCTGAGCGCAACGCCTCCCTATAAGATAGCGGGTGCTGAGCGCAACGCCTCCCTAAGATAGCGGGTGCTGAGCGAAAAACCTCCCTAAGATAGCGGGTGCTGAGCGCCACGGCACGGCTACATTTACGTCAGAAAAATTATTCGATCTCGAGGTGCCCGGTCGATTAGTCTGAATCACATGTTGCGAGCGTTAATGAAGAGATACGCTTCGATGTACCTCGCACAGTTTAATTGATTAACGAGGAGGCGGATTGATGGTTTTCAGATAGAAGGATCGATGGATCGGGACAGCCCAGCAGAGGTGGTCTTACATTGTCGGTAGGGCTTTATGTGTATACCGACACATCGTCGATATCTGACGCGAAGTGTAACACCTGCACAGTTTCTGAGCTACGAGAAATCTATAATGGATGCCTGCAAATCCAATTTTTCCCGAAGACCCTAGATCGCTGGTCATGAAAGCGGTGAGAGAATGTCCCATCTCGACAAGCTCATGTAACGTTTACCTGGGCCATACGCTCTAACAAAACTCGTTACCGAATTCCTTGGAGGAATACGTTCATCTTTGTTCACTATTGAAATCACAGAGATGAATAGCATGATTTTTTTCATAAATTACGTCAAGCTCACAATGGTGAAGGAAATCTATGAGGTTCCTCCAAAATCTTCTTCGAATTTGATGTTGTAACTGAAACGTAGACTGCGTTCTGACTGTTTTTTTTTATAAATTACGAAAAATTTGTTACAATTTTAAAAATTATCCAGGCATGCTGCCGTTTGTTATGAACTTAATTTGAAGTTGGAAATTATACGTTGATCTATGACCTACAAATATCATTGACAATTTAAAGGTTTCATTGACGCTTTTAAGAAATATTTTATATTCAGGATTGAAAGTTTCTGGTAACTACTTTGTTTGATCACATTGTTTAATAGACCGCAAGAAGAAAGCCGGGAGATAATAAGCATTAAGAGCGTTGAGCGTTAGAATTAGTATGGTTAGAAAGCATAGTTCGAAATCGTGTGAAAAGCCAAAACGATCAAGTGACAGGAAAGTGATGTGAATTAATTAATGCAAAGAGAAAGTACTAATCAAACGGACAATTGAAAAAAAGCTCACCGTCTTTCCAAGGCGAGTAGTACCGCACCACGTGATCTGCCATGGGGATAGTTACAAAGTTTTGGTCGATAAATAATTCCGGTGTGGGAATCTGATCAATTTTTATTCAATAATTCCGATATAAGAGTCTGATTAATTTGTATTAAATAATTAGTTGTGGGAGTCTGATCAATTTGTTTTGAATAATTTCGTTGTGGGAATCTGATCAATTTTTAAGCAGATTATTCCTCTTCACGTTTGAATCTTTCTACTTTTTAAACGGTGTTACGTTTAAGTGAAAATTGTCTTCGATACGCTAAAAAAAATTCTATACTTTTTCGGGTAATTTCATTAAGCAATGTATATATGAGGCATAATCCAAAATATGAAAATCTAGACATTTCTGCTTCAGAGTATTAACTGCGTTCTCGTTTGTAAATAATAAAACTCCACTCATAATTTAACATCTGAATGGCATTCCTATTTCCGCACAAACTTTATTTCTGCCTTTTTCGGATGATTAATATTAAGCTATGGTCAGACAGAATTTTTTTTTACATTTTTGACGCAGAAAGTGAGATCGTGAATAATGCAGCGTCCTTAGGTTACCATGGAGAAATTTACATACGCATGAAAATAATTTACGGAAGATTATTCTCATAATTCGCTATTCTGTTCCCAATCATTTATTTTTCGTAACAATGATGTGGACGAATTTTTACAGATTAGAAATATCGGTGTCGAAAGTACGTTTCATTAACGTTTTTTTGTGTCATATAGATGTTCAGAACATAGGTACAGCGTTTCAGATTTTCTAGCGACGACGTAACTCGAACGCTGCAAACCTTTTTATACCGAACGACACGACTCAGCTTGTTTGATCCAATTTTACATGTTTCTTTAATGCAGATAAGGGGAATAATTTCTCTTAATCGAGCTAATCAACGAGTCCTAGCAAATTTAGAATGTATCGGAAGAAGTCGAAATATTTTGCTACATGAACAGTTTACAGTTAAATTTTTTTTTAAATAAATGCAGAGAAACGGTCCCCGAGAGACACTTTTTCCTGCAAATATCATCACATATTTGTTCCATTTGAGATTACGACTTTGACTAACATTACAGTATCACGTAGAACAGTAATGTATTTAGATGTATGTGCGCACGTCACCATCAATACATTTATTCATCAATATGAATGCCCGATCGATGCCCTCCCAGACCATGCCATCAGTGGCGGTGTCAACCACGAAGGCATCGACCATTCCCGCGGAATACAGACTTTGTCAATAGGTTTCGTTTGAAGTTATTTAGCCTTATTTATAATAAAAAGCATCGATAAATTCTCCAGAATACAGAAAATTTTTACTGATTCTTTATCCAAATATAAGCCAGACACAGCCGCGGTATCGTATTTTTTGGAGCAGTACGGATAAAAAATTATAATATATATAATAAAGTGATAAACATAAACAATGAGAGATAATTCTTCATTTTGATCCGAAAAATATTAAATCGAACCAGAATATTACTGAATTTGTGAAAAATTGTGTTCATTTTATTGGCAGCACTTGCAATTTAGAATATTTTTATTCTAAGATGACGGTGCATATAATTATAATTAATGGGATATCTCGTCATTCTGGAAAACTGCTTTAAGACTATTTATTTATTGAAATTTATAAAATATTATAGTCTGTGTCTTTACTGAAACCTCATAAAATTTTTGTTTACAAAAGGAATGAAAATATTTTGTTCAGATTTGATTGGCATGCAACGATGACGAACTAAAGTTTCAAATTTAAGAGGCTGAATGCGGTAAAGTCATTAAAGAATTAAAAAACTTATCAATTATTAAATAACTGGAGAATAGGTTGCTCAGATCGATTTTACATAAGACACTCTAAAAAACTATACATTTATATAAACATTTAATATTCATTAAAAAGTAATTAAAAAATCTAGCCCGATTCCCGAGTGAACCAATTTTAATTTCCTTCCTACAATTTCTTCGTTATCACAGACGTTGACAGTTATTTTCCTTCCTTTGAACAACTTCCCCTGGTATTTTATACATCATTACTTACAATAACTTATTATTTATTCATTATGATGACGAATGTAACATATTATAGGTGATATCACCTATAATATGTTATAATATGTATATTATATATATGTAACATGTTATAGGTGACATATTATATTATATTTAATATTAAGAGTGAGTAACTCACCATAGTCAGAGTAGTCTCCGTTGGGCATGTATCCATTGGTCATGTTGTACATATCTCTAGTAACTTGCTGAACAGGAGGACGTGAGGGGTCTGAGGGCAGTAGACCGGGGGCTAGGGGGTACTTGTCTTTCTTCATCAGGGTCTTGGTTTTCCTTCGCGGTCTGCGCAAGAGGAAGATAAAACACGCGCGTTATAGAGGGGTGAGTCGTCGTGTAGACCGAGTTTGTTGCTTAATCAAATGCAGGGAGAAGATTAAATTATTTTTGATGAACTTGTATAGTAAAAATTATTTGATAAGCATGCCGAAATAAATCTCAATCAGCTGCAACCAAATAATTTTGGGATTATAACGTGATTTTGCTTAAGGAAAACGACAAATTGAATAATTAAGTATTTAAGACACTGCTGCACATTATTATCGGTATTATCGGAAATTATTAATTGAAAAGAATCGAAAATAGTTTAGTAATTTTTTTAAGAGGCGAATTATTTTTGCTGATTTCGTTCTCAAAGGGGAATCAACATTAGCTATACAATCAACGATCGAATCGACTGAAGGGAACAAATCTTCAGTAAAGACAGATTAAGTAGCATTTAAATGATTTAATTAAAATGAGAAAGTGTAAATACTAGAGTATTTTACAATAAGTAATTACGAGCTTTGGATTTATTTATTTTAAAATTATTACAGATATTGTTTTCGTTGAAATATTGTGAAGGATTAATAAATTTAATTTCACACTGTTCTCGTCTACGGACATTTTTTTCGAGGTTCAAAATCTGTTTTCTGATGAATTAAATACTGTAAAAAGTTTAGCAGGGTCCTATGTAGCGAATTAAATTCTAAAAAATATATATATAGCCAAAAAAAACTAAAAAAATTAAGTGTTGTATCTTTTGCCGCCATTTTTCCAAAATATTGAGCTGTCGCATTGGTGGCATTTATATTTTACCGAAAATAAACAGTATCATAAGAATTAGTCTCACTCAAATGAATATCTTTTGTTTTTCGAAGCTGTACTTTTTTACTAAACGCACTAAGCTGTAAATTTGTTATCTTAAATGAATGTAATCTAAGTGTAATACTTCCAATGATTTAGGGACGAGTCGAGTTTGGATGAGAGTGAGAGCATTAAACCTATATGAGCAATCACCAAGTTCATCACTCAACGGTATTTGAAGTGCGAACTGATCTATTTGCTAGTAAAACATGTGACTTTCAAGAAATTTTTAATTATATTTACAGCCACATCTAAGAAATTGTTAGAACTTGGACCATTAAATCGAAAAAATGAAATTAAACCTGCCGTATTGTAATTAAACGAGCTCACTGAGTCGAAAGAAAATCAATTCATTTGTATTTGAAACATCTGTCGGTTTATGTATAGTTAAAAAATTTTCCATTATGCTACTGCACGTTTTTTTTCTCTTCATTGGACATGCTATGTGATCGCGAATTTAATGATGATTTTTATCCGGCGGAATCTCTTAGAACACAACTTTGAATAACTTCCGCACGCAATCAAGGCTCAAATTAACAAGATTCCTTCAGGATAAATCTTAAAAATCTTGTATGCAGTTAATTTCGACAAATTCAGTTGAAACTATATCTTTAAAAATACATCCATTCGCCTCTGTATCCACTTAATTAAGGCATTACATGCGACATAACTTGTTAACATTCCAATCATCCCTCCAGACATATTCTAAAATCAGATTCTGGAACAACGCTTGAATGAAGTGACTTTTTACATGCATTTTTTTTAACGAGCTCACAGTCGCTTGAAATTTTAAAAAGTTTAATAAACGTTCGAAATTTCAAATTATCATGGCAGTAATGAGTCACGAAATAAAAAAAGTGCTAATGTCTGGACAGATTTCAGTGATCTGAAAACGGTTGAAATTGGTCGTCAATCTGCAACCGATCTATCTTGTTAAATTGCCAATTTGAGCCTTGGTTAAATTTGAATAAGCCTAAAATTTTCTTATAGTCGGCTAAAATTTATTTAAAATTGAATTTTAAATTCGGTAATTAAATTATATTATTTAAGATCCATGAAAGAGCTGCTCAATGATCGGATTGAGCCTCGATTCAAAATGTTTTCAAAATTTAATATTTACTCGACCATCACGTTCAATCCATCATCGATAAAATATCTCCTAGACTAATTTGTGCTCACTTTTTAAGAATAAAATCAGGGAAATAGTTCCAGTTAGGCCCAGAATACTTTTTTCTTCGCTTCAATCAAGACAAAATTTAGAATCTCCGAACAATACTGGTCCATGGAACGAGAAAAACTTCATTACATTTGGTTTTGGCTTGAACAACTTATTCCCCCGTTAACGAACACTTGCACCGTATGACTGTGTGGCGAATATTCTAATAGATCGCGCTCGTTTTTTCTAATTATCAGTACTCGATAAACTTTATGAGCTCATTTTAAATTCGTTTTAGTTATCTGTAAATCGTGAATTATAATCTTTCGCTCAGATTTTTTGTCTGGTATTTTTCTGAACTTGGATTGGGGAACTATTGAAAATTTCATCGAGCCTTCATCAATTGATCTAGAAATGGAGCACTGATGAATTTTTGATCTTAGTGTTACTCAGTTCCTACTCAACGTCGGCTAATATTTAAAAATTCGTTAATTAATCCGTATTTTCCATCATGAATCCAAAAAAGAATGCGTGTTTGTCTCTGACGAATAATATGAGGACCTATATAAATCAAAATGATGGAAAAGCTGACGCATGCAAAAGCGCATTTGGTATCGAATAATTTTCTGCAAGGTCAGAACAAAAATCTGGTCATGTCTTTATTAGGTGAAAAAATAAATGCGTTGGAGTTTCAGATGCACTTCACTTGATGAATATCCTCTCATCCTCGGCGGCTGAGCCATCAAACTATTCGTCAATAGAACTGATGTTTCCCATGCAATATATATTTATAAATTTTTGTTGTAACGGGAATAGTATAAAATATGTTTGTATATGCTTGGAAGCAAAGGTAATGTGCATGTATGTGTAGAGTATAGAGACGGATGATGAATGATGAGGTGAAGCCACATATTGCCGATTATCTGAAAACAATTATTTCACTGCTTCATTTTCAAATTAAAATTCAATGAAAATGTATATGAATGTATGAACATGTATTAAAATGTATCCCATACATCGCCGGATTTATGATTGATATATTTCAAACTTTGTTCTGAATTCAAACAAAATTTGAGTGCAGGTTTATGAACAGGCAGATGTTTGTAACGTAGCTATCAATTTAGAGGGCAAAGAAGCTGAATTAATCATACAGACGACACATAAATTGTGGATAAATTTTTTTCCATGAGGCCAGAAACAAGTTTTAATAGTGAATTCTACTGAAAGAATATATTCAGAGATAAAAATATATATATAATAATCATAAATTTTGTAACTTTCTAAATTGATTCCTGAATCAGATGAAAATAAAGGCTAGAAAGCTTTTTTCTGATTTTCCTGAATAAGGTGGGACACCATGAAATCTATTCATCGTTCAAAAATTCAGCAAAAATTATGCATAGCTTAAAGCTCGGCAAAAAAATAAAAACATTTCTGCAGTTCAGTTTTAGTGAAGAAGCCCCGATCAATTTTAAGCCTGGAAAATATGTTCGTGACACGACACATGAGGCCTTTCATGTAGCGTTGCAGCACATGTGTCGTGCGATAACAGATGCATGGCGCTGAAGAGTAATTTCGTACAATGTGGCACAGGTGTTCTTAACTTGGACGTGCCAGGTCGGCCATATGCTGCTGACATCCATCCGTACAGCAATCAGCGTAGCACCCACTCTCTCGCACCCGTAATTTCAATGGTGACTCAAGCAGGTCCCGATCGAAAGCCTCTTAGAGGACTTTGCATAATTTAGCCACTGCGGTGATCCTTGATAAGCTCAACCTAGGATTATCGGACTGCTCAGAAGTACGTCCTTATGCTCGCACTTATGCCTCGGTGTGATGTAATTGCTGCGATCCATAAGCCCAGTTTCCGGGCGCCACGCAAACTTGTTCGGTACGCCACCTGAACCTGCGTGCAAACGTACGCAATCCATTCAACGTTCATAATGTTAACGTTTGAGGATCACGCACCGTTGCAAATTTCTGAGGCGGAGTGCGGTCCAAATTCCGGTGAATTCCTTGAGGAAACTGCGCTGATAAAAACAATCATTGGGCTAGAAAAGTGTTTCATTCGGGAATCAGCGGAGGTTTTCATTCCTCTCTTAAGAATGGGTGAGGCAGTAAAAGCCTTAAAAGGAGCCGTGAAATTTTAAACCTCATGTCTACTGCGCGATTACGACGTGATATGGCAATGCACTGGGCTACTGCTGAGAACCAACGGATTCAAAACGAAGCAAGTGTGGATCCGATTGCATTTTTGTGACCATTCAAACCTCAGATTTTTGTATGGTGCCACCATTAAAATACAGCTTCTGTCTCCAAAATGCTAATATTTTTCCGTATAAATAATATGGTCTATTTGTACTTATTTCCCGTATTTTATTTATTAAAGCCAAGGCTACAGCGATCATGATTCGCCTTCTGTATTTTTTTTCAACTGTCGAAATTGAATTCAACCATTTCGGATTTGCTAAAATCATACAAGCTAACCGGCTAATTATGAAAGCTGTCCGAAATATAGATGATATCTTATATTTCACACGTTCAATTACAGATTCAAATTTTATTGAACCTATCTCCTTAATGCTCTCAAAAACATCGAATTCTTACGAAATGTGCTTCGAAAAACGCCTTCATTATTTAATAATTCAAGCAGTTAAACACAATTATGTCTTCGTAGAGAACCCCATCCCGCTGGTGGCTGAAAGCCCGGCAATGAATAGAGCATGGGGGCAATTAGGAGTAACGGGATCATTTTGCTCGGAGTTCTCACTCCATTTCTTGTGGTTTTTCTGATGGTCCGCTACCGACCCTCAAGCCTTCAGTCCGAGGGGAGCGGCGTCTGACATGCGGGACTTTCGAGGGAGGAATTTCGAAATCAGTGAGATGGCCAAGCCACGGACATCGAGTGGAGGCTATAAGGACTTGTTTTTTTAAATAGAGGAGTATTATCCTCGTTAAAGGAATTTGGATGTTAACGGCATATTACTTTTTTTATTATTTATGG